GTAAAAAGCATTTTTAGATAATGTATCTTGAATTAAGTAGTTTTTTATTATCCTTACCACATTTTGTTAGATTTGTTTGAAACAATGTGTTTAATTTTTTTTAACAATTAATTTAAAAAAAGATAAATAAGACTTTCAAATAATGTATCTTGAAAAAAGATTTAAGGCATTTTAAAGAATAATTCTTACCAATTGTGTTAGATTTATGCTTAAACAACAACACAGTCTAAATAAGAAAACTGATCAATTTCATTTAAATATATATTCTGAAAGCAATTCTTAATATCTTTTCGATATTCTTTTTAAGTAAACCAAAAATAACGATTAAAAATAATGATTTTTGTGGTATGTTATTTGAGAAAGACTGTGTTTTATATGGAAAATGGTAGCAATAAATCCTCAGAACTGCCTCACTTTGGCAAAAACATCTGAAACATAAAATAAATATCTGATGAGCTGGCCTTTAATAAAGCGGCTACTACCTCTTTTCAACATTATAAATCATCTGAACACATGACTGTTGTGTCTGTTTGGATCAGGCTGTGTCTAACCCAAGGGCTCTCTTTGCCTTTACTTGTCTGCAGGTCGACTTCTTGCCTCTTTCAGAAGTGGCTTCAGCCATCTGGTTCCAGATGTGAACTCAGCAGTGTACATGAGGAGGGTTAAAGCCTCGGGAGCAGTGCTTTGAGAAAAAGAAAGCCAGAGGAACTAAGGGGGAAGGGGAAAAATTTGAGACAAATGAATGTGTTATATTTATAGGCATCTTACTCAATGGCTGTTTGATGTTCCTGCCAATCCTACACACTACACACTGCCAAGGAACGTTTAAAAGGATTTCCCTTCAGGTATATTTAACCTGAAGAAAAATACTGCTTTATAACTTTTTCTCCTGTATTACGTTCACATGGGCACGGTCCACTGCAAGGACATTGAGCCTGTTTTACACTGGCTGATGCCTGCAGGAGGAAAAAGAAAACAAGCTCTTTCACAGATTTACTTTGATGTTAATGAGGCCAGAAGTTTGCAGCGTTTTGCTGGATGCCAGTATGTGCCGAGAACCGTGTCAATAGGCGGAAAAGTGCTGAAACCACAAAAGCGCAGGAATGTTTGGTGGACGCCATTGTCCTTCCTGCATTAACTGATATATATCTAGATAGTCGGGAAGTCGTGGCCTAATGGTTAGAGAGTCGGACTCGTAACCCAAAGGTTGCGGGTTCGAGTCTCGTACCGGCAGGGATTGTAGGTGGGGGGCTGTAAATGTACAGCACTCTCTCCCACCTTTAATACCATGACAGGTGCCCTTGAGCAAGGCACCGAACCCCCAACTGCTCCCCGGGCGCCACAGCAAAAAAATGGCTGCCCACTGCTCCAGGTGTGTGTTCACGGTGTGTGTGTGCACTTTGGATGGGATAAATGCAGAGCACTAATTCTGAGTATGGGTCACCATACTTGGCCACATGTCACTTTCACTTTTTTCACTTTCATATATCAAAAGTAAGCCATACTTCATCCTGTGGGTGTGACTGTTTTCTTGTTCTTTCAGAGAAAGAGATAGTATTGCTATTTGTGTGGATATGTTCATTGTACATTCTGTGTTTTGTTTTAAAGGGGTCATATGATGCGATTTCATTTTTTCCTTTCTCTTTAGAGTGTTACAAGCTCTTGGTGCATAAAGAAGATCTGTAAAGTTGCAAAGACTAAAGTCTCAAATCCAAAGAGATATTCTTTATAAAAGTTAAGAGTTAGCCACACCTACCTAAAACGGCTCGTTCGAACACGCCCCCACATATCTACCACACTATGTGGGAAGATTTGCATAACACCGCCCAAATGTTCACACAAAGAAAGAAGGAGTAACTTTTATTCTGAAACAATAATGTACAGTATGTGGAAAATAATGTGTTTTTTTTACTTTAAACCGCATAAACACATTTCATTACACCAAATACACAAAATAATGTTCTTTTTAGCAGCATCATATGACCCCTTTAATACCTTTTTTAATACAAACTCAGTAATCAAATTCATTTTTTCACAGTTTGTATTTGTGTTTCATTACTAAGGACAGTTTATTTAGCACATCAGCGAAAAGTTAGTGTTTCCAATCACATTAACAGAATTAACTGCATTAACTACATTGCATTACCATCTGAATGTTATCAGTGCTTTCTGTTAATTCACTTTTCAGGTGTGAAATCAACTGTCGGTCTTTCCATTCTCCTCTGCTTGCATTTTACCAACTATTTCTGAGGAGAGCTCCAAGCACAAAGTTTACACAAAACCTTTCAACCGCATGCCAATAAATCACTTGCAGGGTCATTATAGTTTAATTGTTACATGTAAATGCAGCTTGTTTGAGGGCCCTTTCTCATGGAGAAGCCCAAAAACAAAGGGCCATTAAGAACAATTAAAGTAAATCTGCTGTTAGCACACGAATGGGGCTGCCATCTGCCCTAGTTAGGGCTTTCCATTCATGGCTACATAGATATGCACAGATAAGCTATGGTTTCAGGGGCAGGGAATGTCTAGGTGGGAGCCATTGTCAATTTTGCATTGCCCTGGAGCTCCTGGGGTTTGACCACTGATAAGATCTTATGCAATTATTTTACATTATATCTGAAACACTTGACATGAGAATGGCTTAATGCAGAGTAAATCAGCAGTGATGAAATTATCCAAAAGTTTACTCACCACGCAAACTGTTGGTGGAATAATGTTGAGGTCAATTACATGATTGTCACTTTTTGATTGGGTCTAATAGCCATTCACATACAGTTATTTGAATACGCTTTTTTAATGATGGCAATGTTTTCAATCACCACATTAAAATAATTTTTTATATTTTTGGGGGACATAAAAATGTCAGGGTGATACTTTCCTGGTGTCAAAAAGAAGAAAAAAAAAGTAATTAAATTACTAAATTAATTGAAAATATACTGTATATATATATATATATATATATATATATATACCTTAACAAAACGTCTTTACTGCTTATGAATATTTGGAAAACTTTTGTCTGACAAAATCAAAGATGTGGTGTGACCAATGTGCAAAAAAAACATAAAACAGAAAATGATATCACAGACAGGACCCTGGAGACCCTCGTCACTGTTTGTCAAGGTCAATAAATCTTGGATAATTAGAAAATTTGACATTTTTATGACAAGTCATGGTTAATTTAGCATGTAAACACACACACACACATATATATATATATATGCTGATTAAGATACACTCAGATGTATAAAAATTATTTTTTCAGTTCATCACAAAACATTTTTAGAGCCACTGAATGTAAATGTTTTTCAATATATAAAATCAACATGAGTACAAGGAGTACATTTATTAAAACTTGACACGTTGACTTGTTTTAAAACGAGATTTTTAAAAGACTTTTTTTTCCACTTTAAGGACACACTTTTTTTTATCATTGACCCTTACAATGATGCCACTACACAAATTTTGTGGCTTCCAGTGTGTTTTTAAAGTACAAAAAAAAAAAATTACAACTATCATCAAATGGGTTTTGCAACATTTCATCCCACAATTAAATTTCTGTATTCTGCTGTTTTTCTTGGCTTGTGCATTGGCACAGTAATGGCAGACATGACTTGTAGCTGTTTTTGGCCAAACTCACAAATCCATGCATCACAGCACACAGATGGAAACACTACAGTGTTTAAAACTCACTAGGCTTTTTGAAAAGCGCTACATATGCTTTACAATGTCAAGAATGAAAGAACATGTTGGCAACTTGTGGGCGTTTTCTCTTTTTTCCCTCTCTATTTATGTTGGCTCTTGAATCGCAGTCTGAATCACAGTTGCATCGCCCACACTGCAGCATAAGTTAGAGAACTTACAGTACATTTCTGCTGTTTGTTTTTAGGGTAAGGATACATAGAGATTCCTGTCGTCCTTACCTCCCAGTGTCTCATATTGGGGCTCTGTGTTTCTGAGGTTTTAACTGACAGCAGGGCAGTTGTGTGGCGCTGAAGTGGATTGTTATTATGCCCTGCTCTTTCCCTGCCATTTTGTTTCTTTAGTTTCCAGTTTCACTCAACTTATTTCTATCACTCTTATTCATGACATCCATCTGGAAATGATATGTAGCCCAAAAGCAAGCCAGAGCTTGTGGTTTAGAAATATGTTGCATTTGTGTTTGTAAAGCCGTGAGGAACTTCAAGAGATTTCTGTGAAGGATTCAGTTCTCTTCTCTGACTTGTGTGTAGATTGACTCTGCCAATGCAGGATAAGCTTCATGAGTCCCAGTTTTGAGAGCATAATCAAAGTCCTTTTAAAGCAGTCCACTCTACCATTTTGGTTCTGCCTCTGGGCAGCTATTTTCTAGGTAATAGATGTACAAGCACAGCTCCTGTCTACATGAATGAGGAAAGCCTTATAAAAGTTGTAATAACATTTGAATCTGAAGTAAACAATAAAATCTGACATCAATGATATAATTTACCCTTGTGAAAAATAAGTGCACTTGAATGTGCTCTTGTAGTGTACTTCTGATCTTAAAAATATATATTTTTAATGACAATGTAATACTACTGTAATAAAATAAAAGGCCACCTAAGGTGTTAGACTCTCATGACTATGTTCCTTAAAACATTTAAGAACACTTTTAAAAAGAATTATTTTGCTGTTCTTTGAAAGTGTACACTTATTTTGATGTGTTGACTAACACACTCAAGCACATGTGTCCTCTCTAACAGGAAAGGTTCTCAGAACTTTGGCTCACTTTATTTATACATTGTTCATGGAACGTTTAATTGGATGTTCGTCTAACATTTTTTTTAAATCTCACTACTTGTTTCAGAAAGTTAAGAGAACATTTAAAATGAATGTTCCCATAATTTTTGCAAGTGACAAAATGGAATCTTTTCTTAATGCTTACACACACACACACACACACACACACATAGAGTTTGAATATAAAAAAAAGACATTTTGAACTTTCAGAGAACATTCAAAAATAATGTTTTATTTAATTGGAACATTAGCAAAACATTATCAGAACATATTTTGTTAGCTGTGATAGTAATTCTAACTGTATGTGTTATTCATTATTACAGTTAAAGTGAATATTTAAATGTACTAATTTGCATCTTCATCATTAAAAAAATATAATTTCAAAAATAAATTTCAATAGAAATGTTTACCATAGATCCTTGTCAGTGCATTCGGCAGTACACTTTAACCATATTTTAAAGACAATAGAATTATGAAGTTAAATATAAAAATGGACTTAATTCCTATTTAACTAATTGCATTTAGTTTTCATTTTAACTATAATGCATTTTCATTTAATTGGAAATAACATGCAATGTTCTCTATATACATACACTGTTAGCAGGTTACCCCTCTCTCATTCTTTTTATTTGCACCTTCAAGTTTAAGATTTATGCTTTTCAAATTCAGACACACGGCAAAGTTTTGAGATATCTGCTTGTACTCCCACATGTACTCCGTCATGTGCTTTGTATTTGAAGCTAACACCCCCTCCTCCTCCTCCTCTCTGTCCTCCTGAAATGCCTTTAAGTCACAGTTAGGGTCATCCATCATAGTGGGTCCACTAGGTCTTCTTTCCACTGTTGTGGACTGACACAGCTTCTGTAAATCATTCTCTGTCTGGCTGGCCTGAGCGCTCGTGGCTGGAGATGCTGGCAGAGAGCTGGAGGCTCTGGTTCTGGTGCTGGGCCAGCTGCTGGAGAAATCAAAACTTGTAAGCCTTTTGTTTCTGAGGGCCTTCTAACCTCGTGCCTGTTTTACAGTTTCT